TTTACCCGAGGCAAGCCGAGTAACCCCTTAACTATCGAACACAATGAAACTTTGTAAACATCTTGACAGATCTAAAGTATTTGGGCTGCAGATGTATAGACGATCATGGAATAAGTTTAAATTTATCGAAATATTGGGTAATTTGTCCAGAAGGTCTCTCCTTAGTCGATTTGAATCCGCCACATTTCTGTTTTTTATATTTGAGATCTCTCTCTCTCTCTCTCTCTCTTTCTCTCTAATGAAAAAATTTATGACAATAAAAACAAAACCTTCTTAGAATCAGTACTTGAAAATTTTATGAATATGACTGCATCTTTATTGTGGTATAAGCTCTTACTGTCATTCAATCTCTCCTTAATTTTTTTATTCCATGCAACTAATATCAGTTTTACGTTCGTTTTGCCACTTGTAAAGATACATGTAATCAAAGACAACTTATTTTTCGACATTACTAAAAGTGATTCTTTCCTTTTTCTATGTTGACTTTTCAAGAATTCCGCGGTAAGGTATTTCATCTAACTCTTGATCCAACTTTTCGGATGCTTTTGGCACTGAACTATCAAATACTTACTTGAGCGGGTGTATTTGATGAGTGTGGTATGGTACTTCGAACCCAATTTGATCCAAAAGAATCTTTCAATGTTTTATTAGAATTATTTCCCAGATTATTAAAAAAGTCCACTTCAGAAGAACAACAAATATAAATAATCAGTTGATTGGAACATGTCAATAAATTATGAAATACATTTTGGGAATCCTTTGGGCATTATAAATAAATAAAAAAAAAACGACAGTGAATTTTTATTATAGTCCATATAATCCCGCATAAACGATCTTAAGTTTCCTAACTACAATTCCACAAACAGCTCCTACAAAATTTATTATCCCTACGCAATATAACTGTATTGCAATTATTTATTAAGAAAATCCCTATACATTGTAAGCCAACTAAACATTTGAACTTCAATTTCTGTTTTAATGCTAAATTCTAGTAATTTTCTTTAAAAAAAAATTATACTGAAACATAAACTAAGCGATGTATTTCATTCCACTTTTAATGAATGCTAAGGATACTTCGAGTAGTCACCATAACAAAAGTTACGCGCAGTGTTGCCATAAAACAATCAAACATTAGCAACGCCGCAAAAGGCAACAATGTCAACACACTCACTTCACTTCAGTTGGCAAGGAAATCGACACTGTGAGAAATTAGGGGCAGATTTCCAAAAAATTGTAAAAAGAGCTAAGACTCATACCATAAATACTTGGTCTTAGCTTAGTCTTAAGGTCCAAGGAAATTCATGAGGTAAGGTCAGGTTAGGTTAGGACGCGGGATTGTTCCAAAATCGATAGATCTCACTTTGTCAAAAGAATAGCCACAAAGTGCTAACTAACTGGCCTATTGAAACCTGTTGATTTAAGGCTCCTTTCCCTATAGTCCGATTCCATCGCACCTGAAACCCGTTGATCCTATACCCCTTCTTCTATTGCCTTGACAGTTTACTTAACATTCTCATTAAAAGGGTTGAAGACACCCTTTACAACAGCAGCAACAGAGAGATAGATTATTGAGACCACTGTCGCCAAAATTTTGCATCAGAAATTTCTTCGAGTGCAACCTCGCTTCAATTACGCTTACATTACCAACACTTCAGCCAACTGCTAACCAACTCAACACACCATAAACGAATCCGCAACAGAGCTCAGCAGTATGAACTACCACTAGCAGCATGCCGAAGTAGGTACTTTAGGGCGGGCAACAGCAACATGCAGCAGAAAATAGTGGCAGCGACAGCAGCAGTCGTCGTTGTTGTCGTCGTCGTAAAAGTCTCAAGTGGCAGTTGCGACAGCGCAAACGCCACATTAAACTGAAAACATAAGCGTGGGTACCACCGTTCCGCCCAACACTCAGCCAGCGGCGTGGTGAGTGCTCCATCATCACTTAAACATTCGACATAGCGGTAACAATCAGTCAGCAAAATGCTGGCGGGCTCTACCGAACGCTGCACAGCTGATTCACTTGAAAGTGTGGTTATGCCGAGAGTACTAGTTAACGCAACTGCTGCGGTCAGGATACGTTCCAGTTCGTTCGGGTTGACAATATATGCAAGTAGTGGCAAAGCAGAAGCTACTGCTATGTTGCCAACCGTTATTTATTTGTGTAGTTGTTGTTGTTATGCTACCAGCTGGATTTGTCAGGATGAACGCCGAAAGTCATGCTCCCATGATGGCATTTGAAAGCCGTGGACGGTAGTTACTGACACCACAATTACACTGATGGTGGAACTATATCTAGCTTGCGCTCTTCATCACCCTCTCACCGAGTCTTGTCAACTCCAAAGCCTTCCTCGACGCTCTTAAGGGCACAAATTGTAATAACTAATGATGGGACAGATGGATGCATGAATGGTTAGTTGACTAGATGGATAGATGGGTGGGTGGATGGAAGAAGGAATGGATAGATGGGTGGTTGGTACGAGGCTCGTGTGTCAGCATAAAATTCTTATGGCGAATACGAAGCATATTTTTATTGCATTGAAACGCTTCAGATATCCGAACACATACATACACACATACATATTTAATATGTATAATATTGCGCAATATTATTCTGCGATCTCCAGTGTGACAATGTTGCCGAACAGCCGTTTTTGGCGCGCATTTTGCGGTTATCACTGCACGCGCAGCAGCAGGCAATTGACGCAACAGTCTCTGCTCTCGTAAAATACTTTGACGGTGTTAAGTTGCATGGCTGACAACAAGCGAAGTAATATTCAGCCAGTCAATATCTTTTCAGCGAGTTGGGGAGGTGGGAGACCAAGGCAGTAGACCGCGTGGTGTGGCAGCAGTAAAAAAGGTGTGGCACGGTAGTAGCCGTGTTGCAACGCTGAAATACGTTAAAAGTTAATTAGTGGAAAATGTTGCGAAACAGTATTTTCGCTCATAAAATAGGACGCAGTTAGTTAATTTTGCGGTGACTCGGAAGGGTTGAGCAAACTTAGTTGGGAACATCACGTTTTGATGTTAAATTTATGGGAGCTTATAAACTCAGTAATTTTCATCCTTTTGTTAGCTAGATTTACAATTATCTTAAAATACGAGGATATGATGCTATACATCACCGGATGAGTGGCGCTGAAATCAAAATATCACGTTCACGGCGTTCAATACACAATTACCCGTCCAAAGAACAACAGATCAATCCAGAAAAAGGAAACCACACAATATGCGCCAACTACCGTGGGACAAACCTCCTCAACATCTCATATAAAGTTTTATGCGCCTCTCTCGATGAACAAAGACCAAACTCTACAAGTCCTCATCATCCCCGTCCTTCTATATGGTGCAGAGGCATGGACGATGACAACATCTGATGAGTCGGTGTTACGAATTTTCGAGAGAAAGGTTCTGCGGAAAATTTATGGTCTTTTGCGCATTGACAACGGCAAATACCGAAGTCGATGGAACGATAAGTTGTACGAGATATACGTCGAACGAATGGATGAAAATACTCCAGCTCTGAGAGTATTCGATGCAGTACACACCGAAGACAGCAGAGAAAGAGGAAAACCTCCAAACCGTTAGAAAGACCAGGTGGAAAAGAGCCTGGCTGCACTTGGCATCTACAATTGGCGCTTAACAGCGAAAAACAAGAACGACTGGCGCGCAGTTATATTCTCGGCTATAACAGCACTGGCGGTGTCTCCGTAATTAAAGAAGAAGATGAGGATTATTTTAAAAATATTTCAGGGTTAAGCCGCACTGAAAAATATAGATGTCGGCGAAATCATTCTTTTAATGCATAGATAAATACTTCAACCTGCGAAAAGTACAACAGTAAAATACGATAAACTTTTCAACACATGTCAGAATAGCTGATTTCAAAGCATATAGCTGTCAAACTGAACGAACGGGATCAAGTGTTTGTTGGAAAAACCTTTTCGTTTTAGGAGATATCTTCATAAAATTTGTCATATGTTCTTATCCAAGGCAACAGTGTAATTTTAGAAGAAATTAGTCATGGTATCATTCCTTGAAAAAACACAAGCCAATGCAGTTTTTATACCCTGAACAGGGTATATTAAGTTTGTCACGAAGTTTGTAACACCCAGAAGGAAGCGTCGGAGACCCTATAAAGTATATATATAAATGATCAGTATGTCGAGCTGAGTCGATTAAGCCATGTCCGTCTGTCTGTCTGTATATATACGAACTAGTCACTCAGTTTTTAAGTTATCGTTTTGAAATTTTGCAAACGTCATTTTCTCTTCAAGAAGCTGCTCATTTGTCGGAACTGCCGATATCGGACCACTATAACGTATAGCTGCCATACAAACTGAACATACAGAATTAAGTTCTTGTATGGGAAACTTTCACATTTGACGTGGTATCTTCACGGCATTTGGCATGGATTACTGCTTAAGGTAACAATATAACCTCCAAAAAAATTGTTCAGAACGAATTACTGTAGCGTATAGCTTCCATACAAACTGAACACAAAGTTACTAACAGACATGCACCTGTGAAGGGTATTTAGCTTCCGTGCAAACGAAGTTAACGTTTTTTCTTGTTATTAGATTATGTTAGGTTAGTCTGGTTGGGTAATAAGCCGCGGATAGGACAGTTTTGGTTTTTTGCGCAGCCGAATGGAGTTCAGTTACGAAGTCCAGGAAGAGAAGTAGTCATCCTTTAGGATGCCTGCTCATGACGCGAATTTCAATACCTCTCTATCGATACCTTTTCTACTGACTCATACCGTGGGGTCTCAAATGTTTAAAGCGTAGCCTTACGGATGCCAATCTATGCCCAAAAGTACTACAGTTAGTAGTTCCTCCGTCGATTTTGCTGCGAAATTTTCAGCGAAGATGCAGATGCATGTATTTATACTAGATATATATATGTTATATATATATATGTTTATATATATGTTATATTTCAACAAAAAAAAAAAAACCAAAAAAATAATAATAAAACTAACGTTGTCTTCTTTTCTGTTTCAGTTATCTTGGCGTTGGAATACTTACAGCTCTTCAATTACAAAAAGGATTTGTAATGAAGTAAGTACATATATTATATATATTTTCTTAAATTTTATAATATTGTAGTATAGTACAACCATAGTTTCGAAAGCATATTGGTATCTAGGAGTATTTAAGTTTAGGTCACACAAAATAGTATATAAGTCTTTGAAAACTTCGATACAAAACTTCCAATAGGCAAGGTTGAATGAATATAACAGAATTGTGAATCTTTTTCTGCAAAAGGAATTTACTTTCACCACCACCAGTATTTTACCCCAAAATTAATCGAAAATGTCAATTAGAGGGGGATCAATTCATATTATGAGTATAAGAAACTCTAAAATGAAAGGAAACGAGAATTTTCTGAGGCGACATCCAGACACAATCATCTGAAACGCTACCGTCTGGAATCCACAAATCAGCCAAAGCAAAGACCGACTCGATTTAACCTGTATATGGAATTTGAATATCGAAATTAGAGGCAAGCTCAAGACAGTAATAAGTGAAAATGTCTCAATTGCGCGTTTGCTCCTACTCAAATCATAAGATACAGTATAGATCATCTGGAGTCCAGACTATACATAATCTAAATTACGTTATTAGTAACTAATCTCTATTTTGATGCTCTATTGACATTTTTTTATACTCTCGCAACAATGTTGCTAAAGAGAGTATTATAGTTTTGTTCACATAACGGTTGTTTGTAAGT